TGGTTAGAAGACTATATAAGCCGAGCATCTTTTATTGGCACACACTTATCACAATGAGGAAAAAAAAAGGAGAAGAATATGGAATCGGTACCTAACAATACTCACTTGCGAGCTCATGACATGACTTGTGTCATTGAGTTCTTTAAAAATCATTAAAATTGCATATTATTTCGGGATCGTGATAACTAGCTACGATTATCATTTAGATGGATACTGTTTTCTCCGACAAATCATTGTGGTTTTGCATCAACATAACTGGTCTTTCGCGAGAGTTGATGCTAACCATAGGCCGTAGCAAGGAGATAGTAGTAATTAAAGTTTTCTCACATGTACAACATTTAACGTTGCTCATTTACTTCTTAAAGATTAATTAGGTTCATGTATACTTTACAAAAATATAAATTGATGTATATGATCAAGTATAATCAAACATTTTCTGGTCCTCAATTTAACTTGAAAAAGACTAAAACGCCTCTATAAGGATGTAAAACCTAAGAGTGTAATATCTAGCTTACGGGCACATGCAAAGTCCAAATCAGCCCCATAAAATCCATATACCGGCATAACTAGAACCATCAATGACAACTCGTGGATTTGATTGGAGATATTATTTGGGCTATAGCGTCACATATATGGGCCCATATCAGAATTGTTGGTCGAGGAGGTTTGTATCATATTTTGGGCTCATTAGCTACTGGATTTGGGGTGTCAAATTAAGAACCAAGTCCCTTTTTAGTTAAATTTGGGGCAAAAGAATTAATTTATTATCGTCATGCTATTCATACGAGACATTTCAATCTAACAAGTCAATTGACGTACGTCATCTAGTGTTCGAGGATGGGGGATGAGGGAATACACCCTCATAGCACTAGTGTATATCTAAAATTAACTCAAAAAATACGCGCCATCCGTGTATATATGATTCCTACACGTAGCGTTGGTATGCAAATATAGGAGACAGCTAGGTAAAAAAGTTGGCTGGGCGTGTACCATCTACACTATGTGAAGCCAGAGCACGGTAGGAAAAAGTAGTTTGTTGATAAGTCATGTTGATGCATGACAAGAAGTGATGTACGTGTACACGTAATGTGTACATGATCACTGAACTCTCTCTCTCTCTCACTGTCTCTCACTCTGTGTTGTGGGAATCTTTCCAGTTCTGTAGTCTGTAGTGTTGCAGAAATAATGGGTATTAATCGACCTATATATGATAGCCAGTCGAAAGTTACCTCACCATAAAAGATGGCTTTTGTTATGCTGCTCGTTTTGTAGTTATCTACATATTTCTTGTATATATAACTCACAAATCCAATGATCAAACGGAACTCGTACACCTGATGCGCGCGCTCATTCCTTAATAAGATCAGCCAATAAGCATGTGAGTGTTTTTTGGAGTTGGGTATTGTTGCCCCAAGCTGTTAACTAGGCAAGGCCACAATTAGCACCCCCACAATGGGGCGGATGATGAGCTGCATCCTTAGATATCTTATTTTTTTAGATCACGTTCAGAGTTTTTTAAAAACATATTATAATAATGATTCCGATAACTAAGCAAAAAAAAGTTTCAGACTCCGTGCATATTTCCCGCCCGCTGCTAATTGTTTTGACTTTATCTCGTTATTCCAAGCTATACATCTCTGAATTGAATTCCGTTTGTTTTTGTAAATAGATATTTGTAATCTGCCGCCTCAAGAATTTTTTCTAGATCCGCCGCTACCCCTTAGTGAACAGAATAAATAGGTTGTGATATCTCTTCAAATATTTAATTAACTAGCATTGTACCTTCAAGAGGAAATTAGGCACCTTGGTATAAAGATCAGGAGTTTTCAATGTCTTTTATTTTATAGATTATATATGTACTAAGCAATTACAAACTAATGCCTTGTTTGCCGAAGTTTACGGAAGAAAGATTAAGGAGAAATATTAACAAAGTTGCTTATAGATTACAGTGAAAGGTTAAATTGCTTAACTAGTTAAGTGCCATTTTTAATCATTTTCATCCTTTTACTATTTAAGAAGAATGAGAATTTTGACTACTTTTGTATAAATAGAGAGGTGCTCTCTTATTCGATCTAAAAGAGTGGATTAGTAAACGACTCGTATTGAGGAGTTAACTTATTTAACGCTTCTAGACGGATTATCTTAATCATCTTCTAATTGTCTATAAGCTCTTGTTCATATTATTTATAGACATGATTCAATATCATTTTTGAAGAACTATACTATGGATACTATGATGTTAAGGTTTTCTTATTAGATTATGGCTCTTCCAGATGCTATGTAGGATCTTGTATCAAAATGAAAAAACAACTTGTGTATAATGTCAAAACCTTGTCTAGAGAACTTTTTGAAATATATTTAATTAGGAAAATTAATAAAAAACTTAATTAGCAAAATTGATCAATATTTAGCCACATCAACCTAACAAGCTAAAAATTGGTCGATTTTGAATAATGCAGATTTTGAAAAACACAGAATTGTATTAATGGTGCTCGCTAATTACACAAGACTGCCATTCCCATATGTTTTATGAGCAATTGAAAGCAAAATGCAGTGGAAAACACATGTGTAATTAGCAAATACACTAATTACAAGAGATTAATTGCTAGTCTCTTCTTTTTAAAATACCTGTACTTTACATAGCTGACCAATTTTCAATCAATTGTGTCGATGTGGCCAAATTTGGTCAATTTTGCCATTTTCTTTGGTCGATTTCACTAATTAAATTTTAGATTTGCTCTATTTCACCAAAAGATTCTCCCATCATCTTTGAAGGATACCATTTTAAATTTTTAATTATGAAGTATAAATAACCTTGTAGTTATACTTTACGTGCACTGAAATCTTTCTATATATATACATAATTTATATACATATTATATACATATATACATAGACATCTATAATTGACTTGCATAAGTTATATAAATAAATTTGAAATTATATGCTTCCATAACTAAACCTTTGCGTTCAAATTTTTCATCTCGACAAATATTACATGTCCTTTTCTCGTAACAAGGATATATTCATAGTATAGCTACGGCAAGAAACGTGAAAATGATATCACAAACATACATAAATTAAAGTGATCGACAAATATTAAAAATTCCAAAAAGTTGGATTAGGTGATGAGTTGTTCTCCTTACTTTACACTCGTCGTCAAAAAAATTATACTAAACAATGTAACGGAAGTTTTGATTCTCTGAAAAGTTTCGTATAAATTATTATTTTCAAGAGGATTAAAAAATTAAGAACTTTTTTGTCTGTTCATAAAAATAAGGCTGGGCTTGTTTCTTGTGGCGTCTGCTAGCTGCGTGGGGAGTAGCCCTCATCGCACCCTTGGGACCCACGTTCAATCTGCATGAATAGTGGGGCCCAGAGCAGAGTGAGACATGCATGCATGGAA